TAAATAGTTGGTTATTGCGGAAAATTTTAAAAATAAGTTATTATAAAGTATTTACAATTTTCTTAACCTACATAGAAATAGTAAAATTTATGAAATGAAAATTAAAACAAATTTAAAAGGTTTGGTCCCTGTGGCAGTGTACCCTTAACGCTGGCAACATTTCCTCGATGTATTGCAATAGGGTAGGGCGGGGCTAGTTGAGCAATTTTTCACTTGCTTGGATATAGCTCCTCAATGATAAGTCTCAATGAGTTGTTATGTGTCCTGATGGATTAGTAATTTATCCCTAACAAAAGTGTCCATAGTATTTTTTTGTAACAAGTCCAATATAATAGCTACAGATGTTTAAATGCAGAAAGTCAAGTATGCTCAATGTACCCCATAGGTGGGGTAAGTTGAGCAAGGGTATGGGGCAAGTTGAGCACTAAGAATGTCTAGGCCAAACCATGGGTTCTATGTTAACTTGAGATGAAATAAAATATGTGTTAGACAGTCAGCTTTTTGTTTATAGTCTTTTATTGACAGAACAAAAAAATTTGTATAATTAACCGAAACTAGAATCAAGAAAACATGAGCATCCATATCTATCCATTACTTCCGATAATTTCTAAAAAAAGATTACCAAGGCTGGTGGGTTCTGGTTTCTGTATGGATAGCTACGATTTTTTTGTTTTTAAAACATCATCAACCATTCTTTTCCGGAAATCTTTTTTGCAATTCAGCTTGGTGGAATTTCAGCACACTCTTAGGCAAGGCGACGGACGTCTTTTGGAGAAAAATGCCATTTGCAGCAAGAATTTTTTCAACAGTTCTCTTGTGAGAGAGGATATACTTCCCTCGGTGTTGTATAGCCCATAAATCATCACCTTCATTTAATTTATTTAAAAGTCAACCAATACCGAATTCTTTAGCGGCGGTATTCACACTTTTTCCCTCATCGTGGACAGCCTTTGCAGCATTATTTAAGTATTCAGTAGTGTAAGAACATCTTGTAGTCTTTCTCTTGTAAGTCCGCATCCAAACAAAAAATAAAAGATTCATTACTCATCAGTTGTTTAAGTCGTAGAGTTAGTTGAGCTATAGTTGCTCAACTTACCCCAACCCGGAATTTTAAAAGAAAAGTAGGATTGTAAATAAATGCCTAGAATTAGACCCAAAACCTATTTACAAATCAAAAATACAATAATCTTCTGAAAGATTAACACTCTCCTGATTGAAAACAGAGAACATTTGACAAAGACAGACGAAAACTTGCGATAAACAATGTTTTTACTTTTTGGTCACAAAATAAACAAAACGCCGTGACACTTCACTCACTCGTCGAGCTGCCACTAGCTATCGTGCGATGATTACCTCTCCTACCACTCCTTCTTTTCGCTATTTGATACTCCCGCGTAAGGTGAATAGTTTCCGAGATATTTCGATTGCCCAACTTGCCCCTATGCTCAACTAGCCCCGCTCTTCCCTACTTATTCGTTGAGCGAAGAAAGCACCAGCTCTGGGGTCACCGGTACTATCTACTAGGCGCCAACTTTAAAAATAAAAATAAATAGTTGCGAATATCTAACAAGAATTTATAACTGAACCCAACCCAAAATTACGGTTTGGCTGTACAACTGTGAACGCACCTATAAAAATAGTAATGAAGTAGATAGGAATGTAAAACAACCCAATATCCGACCAAAACTGGCCCAAAAGTATTTTTCTTTCAAGCCTGTCTCCTCAGAGTATTATCGACCAGTAATCTACAAAAAAAACAAGAAATCGCCTAATGCCTGAGAAGTTAGAAATGTGCCTTCCAAACAAAAATTTGTCGTAAATTCGATTAAATATTGTAGTCAAAAAAAATAGTTCGTTTTATTTATTAACTTGCTGAATTATTCTTATTCGCCGAATAGTATGTTTGATATTCGTTTTCGTTAAAGTAGTATTTATTACCTAATGCATAGTGATGTAATAAGTGAATTATTATCTATCGTTTAAAGCTAATTATGAAGCAAAATTTACACTAACAGCCAGTCAAATCAAGTGCGTAGACCGAACGGGTAACACTGGCAAAAAATAAAGTTATTATAATAAAAGTCGCCAAACACAAGTAAGACGGGCAGTAGGTTGCGTTCCACGCTATCTGGCAGTGTTTAAGATCAAAGATATCAAATGTCGACCTTCCAGCTGATCGGATGTTTTGCCATAGGATACATTATATTTACTATATCTGTATGTATATATAATTACTATGTTAATAATAGCCAGCGCATATGGTAATAACGTTTTAATGTACTTATTTATCTTCGTCACATTGGATTGACTGTGATGGAAAGATATGTTGGGATTAATTTTAAATAAAAGGTGACTCTAAAACGTAGTTCATACTAATCTAGGATTTAATTATTATACTATTATGATTTCATTATAATAAAACTATAAAGTTTTTCCAGTTTAAAAATTATGGTCCTAATTACGCTAAAGTGAATCGACTTCTTGATAAATACTAAAATTATTATTATTAAGCCTTTATTGCTGAACCTAGTATAAATATATAAACATTTGGTGATCAGCGTGTCCTGTGACACATAGGCCTCTTCCAGTTGCTTCCATTCTCCTTCAAATACTTCAATGTTACTTAAATACTAAACGAACTGAAACAAAATGAAAACCGAAACATCATATCGGCCATTTGAAAAACACTAAAAAAAGCTATATGATTATAATTAGTATAATTTAAACATAAGGTTATTTAGCTGTGTTAGAAGAAATTACTATGTAGGTAGGTATGTTGAACATTTTCTTATCATTTAAATAAACTTCTTTAGCATATTATTAAATATTATTTTCTAACTGAAATAAATTGCTTGAAATCTAATAAGCCTACTAATTAAGGCTTAAGCTGCCTAAACATGATTTTAATAATACTTTAACGGATTTGAATGCAATATTTATATAGGTAAAGGTAAATTTATGTACTTTAAATGTGCTTTAAAAGTGATTTGATTTTTGCAAAATAAATACCATTCATCATTATCGTTTTGAACCAAATATTTGAACAAACAATTTTAACAGTTATTATTTGTTTTTTTGATATACCCATACTCCATAGGCTACCCAAAAACATATTTATTCACAAATAAAAGTATATTTATGTGTTTAAAACACAATTTAACAAACTCTTAAAAATAGGCCGTATATATAAATATAACTATAGTTATATTTATATATAATAATATGTAGTTTGATTGGCAACTATTAAAACCTAATTCTAGGAAATAGATTTGGTGGTATTTTGAATTTGGTTAAAATATTAAAGTTCCTTGTAACTGGGTTATTGAAGAAAAAAAACTTTTTTTATAGAACAGGGGGCAAACGGACGGTACGCTCACCTGATGTTAAGTGATACCGCCGCCCATGGACGCTCTCAATGCCAGACAGCTCGCGTTTGGACAGATGAGAATAAAAACCAGTGAAGAACGAGAGAAATGAAATCACTGGCGCTACAATCTTTTAGCAAAAACCCAATTGGCCATAGATTTCTGTATCTGTTTCGTGACCATTTGTTTTTTCTAATACCAGTAGATGACCAGCTTTCTGTGCCTGACTCACACCGTCGACTCCTTGGGTCTAAAGCATGCCAGTTTTTTTCCGATGTTTTTTTTACTTCACGGGCGAGTTAAATGCACATACAAAGTTCATTTGTGTTTAGACCTACGAACTCAGGAATGACGCACTCTGAAGCCACTAGGCCAACTGCTTAAAGAAACAAGAGAATGTTATGTCAACATTTGTAATTTTAATATGTTCTATTTTATTTTTGTATTATTGTACTAATTTATTGTATAAATATTCTACGTGAGTACATGATACATAGAACTTTAAGCTAACATAGATTTGATTGATGATTTGAATACAGTTTCATTAAATTTAGGGTCATTTGCGTTGACTTGGCAGATCGTGTTTTTATTAATTAATGTACCTATTTAAATGTTTCTTTTGCATAACACAACGGAATCGAAGCCATGAAAACTCTTTGGAAAAAATTCAGGACCGCTGGTATTGTTATTCCTGTACAAATTTTTTCATTGTTTGCCGCGATGAGACTAAAGCGCCTATAAGCGCCTCTAGCGGAGAAAATGTAACATTTCTGTCTTTTTTCTCTACAGTCTAAAATCTAAATTCTACAGTTGCTGTTAGACCTTATCATGAAGTGGTCATGCGCTCTGTGTGCTCTTAAACGCAGATTCATTGATGTGGCTTGCCACATCTTGGTGTGACCAGCTTGTACTTACCATATCAATAAATAGCCGGTTACATCATAAAGTCAAATCTTCGAACTGGCTATATCGTAATCTATATCGTGAGCTGGTTCTTCTGCCGTGCTGCAGTATTCGCTTATTAATGAAGCCATTCTGTCAGTCTGAATTATAAATTCCAATCAGTCCGCAAAAATGGAATCAAGTAGGTACGTGTCCAAAGAAAAATACCTCGCAAAAACAATATGTTAGCTATCTTAAGCAAGGCTTATTTTAACTCCACATCACAAATCACGGTCGAATCGATTTAGGTACAATTATTATGATTGTTTTGACACAACTTAATTTTGACCTTTAGTATTCAATATGTATTAAGTGGAGCTGAGGACGTAAAACAAACCAAAAGTTTGACACAAGCATTTTCCATCGAAGCAATCATAAAAATACCTAATTACAGCCATTGTTAACTGTGGTTTAGGGCGTAATCCGAAGGAAGCCGATGCAATATAGCCTATTTATAGACTTCTCATTTGACGCTGGAAGTATCGTATTGGCTCAATCATATCCGTAAAGGTATTTCATAACTCATAAGTAGGTAGCTATAGGTACGTACGTAATATACCTACGTGTCTATGAAACCATACGTCAGATTTGGTCGATAGGTGTGTACGTTATTATACTATTTTTTACCTTCTTTCATCCATCCGGGTAAAGCACTATGAACACTCGCGTTTAGCGCATAAATCCTTTATAGAATTAGTTTCCAGAAAGGAGCGCACTGGTTAGACTGGCCGCGGCGGCGGCGCGCAGCAGAATCGCGCGGCCTCGACCTTGGCCGTCAAAGCAGCGCATGCGCCCCGCGTCGCGTCGCCCCTCGATTCCTCCGCCAATTATGTCATTATGTTTGCTGTTGTTGTGTTGCCAAACAGTCGCGCTCTGCTGGAGATGGATCCTGATTTCTAACATGCTTTACAAATATATTTGCTATAGTAAACATAATTATGAGTCCTGTAGGAAATATACTCGTATGCTTATCCACTAAATACTGCAACAAATAAGTTATGTAGATATGCAATAGCAGTACGTACCAGTTCAAGGTACCTTATGGAATTAATGTTGTATAGTTATAAAAAAATATGTATATTGTTGATTAAATGGTTAATTTGTGTCATTACTTAGGTAGTATTTATTAAGTTCAGTAAGAAACTAATGTGGTTGTATAATGTATATGTAGACGATTCATTAAGTCATTGATTAAATTTATTTAAATTATTAAAAGCAAATTATTTGCGTAGAAACTTATTACGATATAATATGTATTATATTTTAGATTCGTATGTTGTTTAATTCAAAAACTTGTCATTTATGCTAACTTGAAATAAATTTATTACAGCGCCACCTATCCATTGGGCACTGAACTATAACAACTTCTTTCATTTCATTTAATACGAATATTGTCAATCTAAGTTCAATTTTTACAATGCATGTGTTTGACAATAGATGGCAGTTGAATAGAGTTGTTCCTCCAGAGCCCTCAACTTCATTATATAAATTAATAATACGAGGCTTAAGTACATATTTAAAAAAAGTTTGGAAAATCCAAAAGTGCACGCCTCATAGAGGTCATACACATTTAAAAAAAAAAATCTAAAACAAAAACTCAAGTTTTTTAAAACAAAATAACAAAAAAAATAAAAATAAAAAATTAATGAAAATGAATGATTGAAAAAAAACAATAATACATATAATAAAAAAATATATAGTGGCGCCATAACTCTAAGGTGAGGAAAAAAAATACTAAAATAAATGTATATATCGACGTAGGAAAGCATATTTGCTGTAAGTAGACAAAATACCTAAAGTGACTTTTTCCTGCCATTAGAATCAGAAAAAAAAGCCGCATCGAATGACCTGGGTCCTGTGTCTCTACGATGAAAAAAAATTTACATACGCCGTTTAAAACGCCCGTACTTATATTATTTTTAGCAAGATTAAATGCTGTATGTAGACCAAAATCTAGTCATTTCAGACATTTTGCACTTACAGCAAAAGAAAATCTGCATTTTTTCTTTACAAATACTTACTTCTTCCCATTTAAAAACTTAACGCTACTTACAGCATTTCAGCGGCGTGTGATTTTTACATTCGTTTACTTACAGCAAGTTTAGGGAACCTACAGTTTTGGTTTTTTTTTTACCATTTACGACATTTTATTTCAACCAAACATTACATTACCAAATGACCCACTGCATTTCTAGATCTAATCATAATTATAAACTAATCTTACATCTTGAATTGCAATTAAAAGTACCCAAATACATAAATTTCCTGCATACAGCATATTTACCGCCTGTAAATTGATAATATTTCCGCGCGTACATTTTTCTTCCTTAGTTACAGCGTTTTAAAGGTTTGTGATTTAAAAAACTGTTTGCTGTAACTAGCCAAACACGTACTTATAGTAACTTTGGATAAAAAGTTTACATTGCAAATGGTGACTGGCAGTTAAATAAATATATGTTTCAAAAATGGTAGCAATATCATGGATAGGTCAGACACTATTAATTTTTTTCCGAAATTAATAAAGTTTTTTGGCTCTGGTGAACAATTGCAATATGTCTACTTACAGCAAATGTGCTTTCCTACGTCGATATAGATATACAAATACACAGTGGTATAGTATTGTCTTTGATTAACATAACTTTTATTCATTTAATAAAACACTATTTTGACCGGATTGAAGTTATGTATTATTATAAATTTACAACTATTTAACATAATTTTAAATTTATCCGACGTTTCGCGTGCTTTACAGCGTGCGTGGTCACGGTGTCACCGTCTGTTAAATAGTTGTAAATTTATAATAATACATAACTTCAATCCGGTCAAAATAGTGTTTTATTACACAGTGGTATTTTAGTTTTTTACAAATTATAATTACACGACAGTACTTAGAACGCTAATATTAACTAGGAATCAGCCCAGGGTATAACTTTATATAATAAGAAAAAAAAGTATTCTGGTACGATAAATTTTTCGACCAATTTCTCTGCCACATACATGGATCCATAAACACAGACTGACGGACATCCAAGAATGATTGATTTTAATGTAATTATTTACTATGTTAAACAAAATAATTGTTCATAAAAAATACCATATGTGCTTGATAGATTATTTAACTCGATTTTAGTGCACTCATATTATCCTGTAAGTGTTATATTAGTGAGAAAAAAGTCATTCAAGTTTCGAAAGACTGGGTTTTTTGACATGTCGAGAGTAGAGCACTGCCTCACGCTCCGCTAATGAGGCGTGCAATATAAGTTATGATGGGTAATAGTTAGTATAGTAGTACACATGTAAGGATACATCATAAACTTCAAATAAAAATATCACCTTTATTAATAATATTATACAACGGCAGTCTTATACACTTTCTTTTTGAAAAAATAATTTAATACGTCATTGGATCTTAGCAGCTAAATATTGATTAAATCTTCGAAGATGATACAATATCAATCGATGGGGGTAGATTATCTTGAAGATGGCCGTGTGTTTCTGGTTTTCCTGCGTCCAACGGCGCTATTTTTCTGAAAAAGATTATGATATAAAAAACTATACATTTATGTTTTATTTACACTGGACCCTTTCATGACATGAACGAAAACCGCCTACCTGGCGACCTTAGGTTGCATTCCCACCAAAAGAGTGATTATTTCACATTAAAATTATTGATCAATGACCTAATACTAGAAATGTAAATGTCCCATGGTCCAATTTTACTGGACTTAAAAAAATAACAAACCGGGACTTATTTGATTTTTTCCACTGCGTTATTTCGGATGAATTAATTATATTAACTCTATTGTTATTTAGATTACTTAGAATGAGTATAAAAGTATTTTTTTTTGGGATTCATAAAATAGTCCGTACCTTGGTGAAAAAATATAGGTGGAAAGGTTATTGAAAGGTGCTTCAGCCAACAACCAGATAAGAAGTGACGCGAGGCATCCCACTATTATAACACCGAACGCTGAAGTGAACTGAAAATTTGGTAAAAATACATAAAAATTGTTAAATATGCATAATTCTTTTTTATCATTTTTTATCATTGATGCACATGCATGTATTGTGTTTTTGTATGAGGTGTGTTCTCTGTGTTTGTATGTGTTTCGTTAGTATGCCTTTTAAAATAAATACATAATAATTAAATTAAAATTAGTACTTCATTCATAACTAATACTTTGGCAATTAAAACTTGCTCGTACGAAGAAAGAAAAGGTAACATGAAGACTTTTTAATTTTATCTGTCTAGTTTATTTATTTCGGTATTTGAAGATACCTATTCAAGTCACCAAATATTAACTTACCTGTCTTAAATAATCGTTGTGTTGTGGATTTCTTGATACTGCAACGTTTCTGATGATCAACAATGAATGTACAAGATATAGGCCGTAAGCTAATCGGCTGAGAGGCACCCAAACGTGCCAACTGAAGAAGCTTTTTAACAAGGCTAAAAAAGATAGTAAAGTTTAATATGTACACTGGACAAGTTTCCCATACAAACAAATCTTTATGTTAACTGTTAGATTAGATTATTTTAAATGCTGCGGCTTTTGTTGTCATTTTACGTATAAATAAAATAAATCAGTAGCGCTACATCATTTTTAGGTCTGGGCCTCAGAATTCTGTATCTGTTTCATGATTGATCAATCTAATAGGAAAGCAGGTGATCAGCCTCCTGTGCCTGACATACGCCGTCGACTTTTTGGATCTTAGACATGTTGGTTTCCTCACGTTGTTTTCCATCATCGTTCGAGCGAATGTTAAATGCGTACATAGAAAGAAAGTCCATTGGTGCACAGCTGGAGATCGAACCTACGACCTCAGGGATGAGGGTCGCATGCTGAAGCCACTCGGCCAACATTGCATGTACTATAGTTATAGTAATATGTATATTACATTGCCAACTTTGTATCAAAATGTCAATAAAACACTATTTTGACCGGATTGAAGTTATGTATTATTATAAATTTACAACTATTTAACATAATTTTAAATTTATCCGACGTTTCATCAAAATGTCAAGATTATACAAAATACATTTATTATGATTTGGCAGTTGTCACAGGTTACTTACGCACGTGTCCAAAGGCGCAGCTTAAGACAAAAATGGAAATACTGAATGCCCAAATTGGTCTATTTAATGCAGCATATATGACACTTTCAGCAACCGTGTAACCCCTCCATAGGAAAGGGGGACCGGAGAATAAAACCGCCCCCATTAATATTATTCCAGCACCAGCTCCTATTGTTGCCCATTTCTGAAAAAAAAAATCTTTATTCCAGAAACTTTCTTTCCTATTCCTCCTTTAGACATATTGATTTGAGAAAGTTCAACTTTGATTACTCAAAGATCATATTCAAACACCAACTTTCATATTTTTAATTGATTAAATTATACGTACCGCAAAATTTTTAATAATCACAATATTATATAATTTGTTATTTAAAATAATAAAACTGAAACTGTTATTTATATATTCTCGAATATTCTAAAATATGAATGAAGTGTGTCAAGAAAAACTAGTAAATAATTGCTAACAATTTACATAATGGAACTACATTTTATAGTACTGCCCTGCGATTCTGTAACTCACGCAGCGGTTTTCGCATCGGCGGTCGCTCTCAAATCAGTCGTGAAGCAGTCATTTTATGATTTGGCATTCTGATAAACAATAAACTACGAGTTCCCA